ATTAAGCATCGTTCTAGTATGCGGTGGGTTAGCTCAGTGGTCTTCATGCTATTTGCGGGGTCAGTCGGGGAAATAGTTTTCATGTAGGATTAGTCAGGCATGGCTTGCTCTGTTACATCATTAACATTTTCCGGAAATATCTGCTTTTGAAACTGGCATCTCTAGTTTCAAACTCATCACCACGCTGTTTCAATATTTCAACATATTCGATGGTCATCATATTCCCAACGGGCCTATTTAACATATAGAGTTTAATGAAGGTATTAACGGCGTTTAGAACCATACTTGGCTCATTGTTATGATACAATTATTATGATGTGCTTTTTTTAAATCTTGTGAGTGCATTCGTTCTTATCCTCTTCGTTTTTGGAGATATGCAAAAGTCAAAATTCTTTCGATGATCATTGAGAAAAATGTATATTATATAACACAGACATTCCTCATGGCTCATACATTGCCATCCTTACATTCCTGAACAGTATTACTTGTGCATTCATTAAACTTGCAGTAAATTATTTGAATAATAAAAGTTAAACATTTTTTTATTTCATGCAAGCACTTTGCCGTAAATGACTGAATGTAGGCATGACTTCTGATTGCAGAGTTAGCGCAAAAAAGAATTAAATTGTTTATTTAATACACATCTAGTGAATTGGGCGAATCGGCACTGATTATCATTAGAAATTAAACCAATATTAAATACTTTTAAAATTCAATCCAATTAAATTTAAGGTCTATATAATAAAAATTTGATGGTTTATGCCTGCAGTGCTAACCCGTGGGTGCGAAACTAGACCCTTAACCTGAAAACTATTCGTACACTGCAGACCATGCATGAAAAGATGTACACTGGGAATAAGAAGAAAATATCGGAATGCGAATGAATGGATAAGAACACGAGCAGGAGTAGGGATATCATTACGCCAGTGAAGAAATTGATATGCTAATGACCAGGACATGTTGCACGAAGATCCGATTATCGATGGAGCAGAGAGGCATTAGACTGGGTTAGAGGGGAATAAACGATAAAGTAGAAAAACTTACAGATGGATCGTAAGGTAAGCTGGAAAAGATTTTGATCGTTCTACTGAAATGAATCGCAGAAACCAGAAATTTATGGCTTTTTGATAAGGGATAGTGATAATGATAAGAAAAATTAATTTCGGTTTATTGGATTTGCTAACAGTACTGGTCAGCCATTGGTCAGCCATCGGCTATTGGTGAGATATTGCCAGTACGAATGGCAACCTCTGCCTCTTGTTCAGATTCGTACGGAGTACGGCGTAACTGCAACGTCCCCTTGCCGCAAAGCGTTTAAACAGGACACGACCCAATAGAACTTGTAGTACATGGGGGCAAACCCACTAATTTGCGAGTAAGCCTATAATACGGGATCAGTATTAATTATGAGACTTAAGGATCGGGTCATATCGCTTGTGTTAGAACGTGTTTTGGTTCGACCCAGTAAAATAGTGCGGTTTTGCACATATGCACTTAAGATGCTAACATATCATTGGGTCGTGGTCCGCTTAAACGGTTCGTTAGGCCACTAGAAGCAAGGGAAGGGTACGATGTGATTACACTGTATGAGTTCAGTGAAGTGACAGGTACCTAATTGTAGGTCCTTGTCGATTTCCTTTGAAAAATACGTGTGAAAGGCAGCAGGATACTGTCACTTTTGTTTCAGAGCAACTGTAACGAGGGATATAACAGAATCAATCATTGTTATACCTACGCCCAATAGGGCCTGAAGGTTGTGCGTAACTGATGTAGCGTCTGTCTGCTTGCCTTAGGTTGCAAGCTGTCGTTGGAAAGTTAAGTTTCGTTTTCTGTTCGCACAGCTGTTCGAAGCGGTATCGAAGTAGAACACCATTTGTGTACATTCCACCTGCGGTTGCAAACACTTACCGTGAACGTATGAGTGCTTATTGACCTTACCGTTACCGTTGCTGCTCGCAGTGTCAGGGAAGTGAACTCTCGGAGACCGATTAACGTAGGCGTAGAGCGGAAACGTAGAGCGTTTAAAAAATGTCTTACTGTCAAAATGCTTATACGGTAGTTGTTTCCCCTCATAGCGATTTGTATGGGCGTGGCATAATCCGAGAGAACATATATCGTCAAATAGCCGCAGCGTTCGAGTCCGGTCAATCGGTTCTTAGGGCTTGTTCAGTCCGTGGTAAGGGGACACCGAAAACAGAACGGTCTGAGGACAATATCTACCTCCATAAGTTTTGCTGATAGATGAGGTGGAGGCACGTCTGCGTTAAGAGACGAGTTGGTCGTTGTGCGATTCCTTCTACGCAACCAACTGCTGGCGGATTCAGCGGATATTCCAGACCAGACGTACTTCGGCATGTGCAAGCCGCCCCCAACAAAGTGACGTGACGGTTACAACAAACAGCTGTGAGTGGCTCGAAACGCTTGACGAACAAAACAAAAGCCCTCTGTTCCCTCTGCCGTTTGATTGCGCTCCGATCCTCGCCGTCCTCTCGTTGACTCGACGACGGACGGCGGCGAGCAACGGCCACTACGACGACGATTTGACGGCATTTACTGCGCGATCATCGGCGGCGTTAGCGCCATTAGACGGAACGTTGTTGCAGTGCCGATTACGACTGTACCCACAAGAGCAATTTCACCGGCAATAAATAAGCATTTCCCATGTGCGAAACAAAAATTTGACACAATGCGCTGGCTGTGCAGCGTTGGCGGCTGAGGTGGCTGAGGCGACTGAGGCGCTTGAGGCGGCTGAGACCCACCTCGAACAGCTGCGACGACGGCAAACGGCCGACAGACCAACCGACCAACCGACCGACCAACCATCGA